TAAATTGCTTTTGCGGGATGCGGGAGTGCATTAGCATTAATATGTTCCAAGTTGGATTATCGAATTTTAAAAACGGTCAGCATAGTATACCACCAAATGGTTAACGTTCACAGTCGCGTCACCGTGGTACCTATGAGTGGTAGCCCCATGTTTCCGGAGTCGGCGAATGGTAGTCAGAAGAGGGGACATATCCCAAAATGTGAGCGATTGACTCTTCAAAAGCTTCACCTTTCACCTTATATGCGAGTGGTTGCGAAATAAACAGTTTGTAGAACATTTTCATATGTTGTTGTATACCAAGACATTATGTTTAAAAGATTAATTACAGCGCGGTATCTCAAGAGATCTTCCTGACCATAACTTCTGCAGTTATACGGTCAGCATACTGTCCATACATAAAACACCTATTTTATGGTGGTTTTCTTTAGGAGAAGCATTGTTGAGAGTTGTCTGGTTGCGTTCCGAAGGGAAAAAAGGGATCTACAGTACATACAAGGATTTTCGATCACATCCGAACATTTGAACATACTTAACATAAATAATAATTAATCAAAAGGACAACAGCGAGATCAACAATGATATCAGTCACATGAACTTTATCCAAAGGACAAATTGCTTTGATATCTCAATACCTTCAAACTATGACAGCAGTAGTACAATAGTCAGTACAGATTTGTCACTTCAGAAAAGTCAAACGTCTGTTGCTTTGTATTGTTGTTATCGTATTGGTGGGTAATCTGGTCGCATTGATGACATTATACTTTAGAAGCCGTTTACGTATCCAATTACGATAAGGACCAATGAAATATAACGAAACAAGAGAATTGGCCGCCGGAATAGGTACTGATAGAAAACTAGTACAATACTCCACAAGGGGATGATGATAGATGTCCATTTGAGCAACCAAGTATCCAACTGTGCCGAGGATTAGCGTCAGGGGCAAACAAGCCTGGATCGTGAGCACCTTCAAAAAAAAAACATCGTCAAATTAAACAACTTACATTGGTTAATTGAGAATGAAAGCTATTTCATAATAATCCAGTAATCCGATCGGATGCAGCCATTTGTACATCCATCAAAGCTATTTCATTTGACTGTCAAGTTTGTCGAGCAAGTTTTAGCTCATTGAATTGAATAGAAAGCACATTGATGCCAGGCTTAAATCCTAACAAGTTCCATTAAATCTTCAATTTGAACTAAAAAATGAAAAAATTTAATTTGATTGAAATCCTAAGTAATATAGGACCGCCATTATCAGAAAGTGTTCTGTATCGATGTCGTTTGAAAATGTAAGCTCTGCTTTGCTCACCATCAGAAGTGGAACTATCGTATAAAATCAGTTCTTCGTGTCTTTGCGTGGGCTGCACCTCTGCGATTTTTTCTTTCTCTTCATCACCCATAGCACATCTGTCCTCTCACTAACTTGGGTGTTTATAAGAAAATCTACTATTTCACAGCTTTTCAGTATTCTTACGACGTCACCTTTACAATTCTTACCCTTCATCTCCATCTCACTCCATACAGATCTCATTCATGGCGACCTGCGATTCAGATAGATAGCACCTCATCTTATTTCCCACCGAATACTGACTTCCTTATCACATGCGCATAGTCTATCTTTCAAATCTGGTCGATAATCGCCCACTTCTATCTTTTCAAGGTCGTTTGAATGGTACCGACCTTGTCCGCGAGGATAACAGCCTGCGCTTATACATACATCGGTTCCCTACCCTAAGCCATTGTATATGCTACACACCCATTCAAACAGCCACTATCATTCTACTTTTCACCTGATTTGAGAGTGCATACTAAATACCGGATTGATTTACAATAAATACTCTATCCCTTACTCTTTATACTGACTATCGACGCAGCATCTGAAGGTACCTCTTACTGGGGATCCCTTTTAGGCGTGCTGCTGACTCGTGAGCATCTTTGGCTTTGTATCAGTTACTCACCATAATTTATCGTTGCTTACATCAGACGTACATAAGCGGATATTGATAGTCACGCGATTGTATAGAAGCCTATGTAAACCATGCATTTTCTCTGACTATCCTAAAGCCTTTCTTCTTTTAGTTTGCTAAGAAACGTTTAACAAACAATCAGGGGTCCTTCTTTCAAAAGGGTATGGTTAATTTTAAATCCTCAGGTTGCAAATTTTTGGTTTTCTGAGCCGTTAAAAGGGAGCTCGGGGGAGGTTTGTTTTATAGGGAGGGCGGAGGGAGTTTGCAGAGATTATTCCAAGCATTAGCGGATAGACTACAGAGCAATGTCCTAATGATGTTGTTTTATTATTAATCCATTATTGACTAGAAAAAAATGCCTACTGTAAGCAGTTGCGAGTGAAGTTGTCTAGTGCTTCCGGACATGGTTGTTTGGAAAGACTTCAGTTTCAGAATAGTAAGTTTTCTGAGAATAAGGACGACGATGTATATCGGTGTCGATAAGCAGTTAACGTAAAGACAGGCGATAAGAGTTCTCCATTCGTAACAATCCAGATTCCCGCTGACGCATTCGTTTCTTGTGTAGAAGCCGAATTTTTCCTCGAGCCCAGCTTTCAGCTCTGCTTCGTCGCTGCCAGAGGTACAATGTACAATCTAAAAATGTGTGCTTGAATTGTAACTAATTTCTATCTTCGTCCAAGAGTCATAAAGACCATGCTTCACTAGTTCGGCAAAAGCACCATATGGGAATGTTCTGATTATTCACTGTGTATGGTAGCTGCACAGTTGACGATGGGTGCCATCTAGGGTGCAATGTTACTTTTCAATATTACATTCCAGGTAGGACCGTTAGTCGATGGAACCCCTACTGTAACGCCGGAGCCAATAAATTACGTCATGGGGGTTTGTTAATTACTACAGGAAGCACTGAGTGACTTCAATGGACTTACAAAATAAGAAAATGACGGTATGTATAGCAATGCGCAAGTAAGCAGTATTGTACGGCGTCGTGGTTGAGGGTGAAATAATACGAAATATCGATAGGCAAACGAATACAGTAGGATCCAGAATCCATGGCCGAAGCAATGTAACATGAAGCCAAATCTGGAAGGAGTTCAAAATTGTTGAAAAACAGTTTTATTAGCTAATTGGAAGATTTGTATTTCCAAAAACAACCGAGAATTGCTTACCCAATGAAGCAGGCTAAGGACCCTATGGCTGTACATGGTCCGTAGGAGACGAAGTAAATACTCAAACCGCTTGCCATAATCCTTAAGTAGAATTGAGTAGGTTTTCAACAATTACATAAATGACAGTGTTGCTACTAGTTTGGTGATGTTTATAAAATCATATATATTATCTACAACTAGAGTACAGGCATCTAAGGGGACTTTATTCCGAGTGGAGGTTGTCGTAGTGGAACGAAGCTTGAAAAACTATTTATGTGAGATGTCCTAAAGCAGCCAAGCATAGCGAATTTTCCTTCTCTGTATTTTCCCTGAAATCTCACAAGGTCGGCGAGTTGTGGACAAAATTTCGACCTCGGAGGGGACTCGAACCCGTACTTGCGCTATCCGGGCACCGTGCTCTCATCTCCTAGGTAGAAATAAGAGCACAAGGTTGGCGAGTCATGGACAAGGCCAATGCACGACTTTTTCTATTTCGATGGTTATGAGGCTATCTCAAACAAACTTTTGAGCCTTTCACGTTTTACTGAGAATATGCTCTGAACGTGCACTTTGAATTAATGTATTCAAAAGCATGGGGAAGCCGGTTTTGGTCTTCAGTTAAAGAGTTCTGACTAAATTTCAAGTCAGTAATGTTGAGCCTGCAACATATGATAGATACCTTTGACGAACAAAAAGGGCAGCAACGGAAGCGAAAAAATCGCAGATGGAATTGTTCAAAATGAGCACAGAGTAGTTACTCAGTTGCTTTGGAGTCTTCTTCAGTACTAGATAGATCAAAAGAGAATTACAAACAATTCCGAGTGTAGCTGCAGTGTTGCTTACTATGAAGCTCGTCAATGGAACCCAGCTCATTCCCCTGAAATGATTCATTTTTTGAGGAAAATGCAATACCAAATGAGACATACACATATCTTTTCAGTATTTCAAAAAGCTGATTGTTTTCATTCGAAAACCTAAAATTCGAAAACGCTGAATTTCAATTTCAATGACCTGATCAGGGTTATCAAGATGATTCGATGTAAAAATGAGTTTAGCATTTGACTTACATCAAATTCCGTACGAATGAGACTGTAAATTTCAGAAGATAGTGATTCAATTAGAGATTTCGACAGAACGAGTAGGTGTTCCATCTAACTACTTCGCAGTACACAAAACATAAAGCCATCATTTTCATATGCCTACTAGGAAGTGTTGCTCAAACATGGCACATTTAATGAAGGCTTTACGAATGGAAACCTGAAAACAAAGTATTCTCTTCACAGAAATAATGTATTACCTAAAGAACTGTGAACAGCTGAAAATTGCGCTAGCGGTTTCGGTAAGTTTACGATTATATGCAGTTTATTCTTAGAATTCGATGCTTACATACCAGTGTATAGATTAATTTTATTTGGATCTCGATAATGAAGGGAATGGTTGAATTTGACTAGTGGATGTGGAAAATTTGCGAATCATTGAGTACGAATGTGAAGCCGGATTCAATGATGATTTTGCTATGTGACTTGAATAATTGTGGATTTATAAGGGCCATAGTTCCAGACAATAGTGGGGTTAATAAAAGGATAAAGTTTTTGGTGTTAATCAATCCCGTCTGAGGGATGCGCCCCCGCACTCGACTTCCATTCAGAATCGTAGTGGCGTGATGAGTGCGTATGNACAGTGATTCAATTAGAGATTTCGATAGAACGAGTAGGTGTTCCATCTAACTACTTCGCAGTACACAAAACATAAAGCCATCATTTTCATATGCCTACTAGGAAGTGTTGCTCAAACATGGCACATTTAATGAAGGCTTTACGAATGGAAACCTGAAAACAAAGTATTCTCTTCACAGAAATAATGTATTACCTAAAGAACTGTGAACAGCTGAAAACTGCTATGGCATTTGGTAAGTTTACGATTTCATGCAGTTTATTCTTAGAATTCTATGCTTATATACCAGTGCATAGCTTAATTTTATTTGGATCTCGATAATGAAGGGAATAGTTGAATTTGACTAGTGGATGTAGAAAATTTACAAATGATTGAGTACGAATGTGAAGCCGATTCAATGATGATTTTGCTCTGTGACTTAAATAATTGTGGATTTATAAGGGCCATAGTTCCAGACAATAGTGGGGTTGGGACAAAAAAAATTTGGTCAGGATTCAGGTTCTAAATGGATGATGACAGTCATAAAACTTACTCAGTTATTTCACGTGGCAAAACTCTAGATGGTTGGCCTGTAGAAGTAAAGCTGAGGAAGGCTTTTGTCAAAATCAATAAGACTACGAGTTTTACCTTTTTGAAATTCTGATCAACGTTATGAAGAAACCCTCTTGTCGTAGAAAATTTCATAATTTTTTTTTGCGAAGCAGTGTTATGTAGTATTTTACTGACAGAAAATTCTTGCATGGGTGTTTGCCCTCGGAAGGCAAAAGATTCATACGATCAACACCTTTTTTTCATAGAAAAGTCATCTGCAATCAGTCTTTCCTACTAACAATTATGAACATTTTTATTGACCGCTCTTGATAATAAGGAGCTGTACACTACATACGCATATATGTACATAATTCATATGTCAACTGCTCTTTGCTAGCATTAACAAGCAGTTATATCAAATCTATGCATATACATGTGAAGTAAATCGGGTTAAGTTATGAAGAAATTTGGCAGACATTTGTTTGACCAGCAAATTCGAAAATTTCCGAAAGATCTCGAATTTAAAATAAAACAGAAAAAAACCATACAGCAATATACCAAATCAAAAGAAACCCGTAGGATTTTTCTAATTATCAAGGAGAATTCGATAACCGTATTAGTGACAAACAACAGCTGTTCTTCAAATAATGGGCCCTGCCCTTATAATGTTAACCCTCTGTATTGGCGAGGTCTTATTCTGTCGTTTAAACAAGTTGCATATTCAATAACGATAAGGTCCAATGAAGTATAAAGCTAAAAGAGAATTTGCAGCTGGAACAGGTGCAACTGGAAAATTCACACAATATTCCAAAAGAGGATGATGTGAGATGTTCAACTCGCCAAGAACAGATCCGATAACGGCAACGATTACTGTAATAGGCAAACATGCCTGGATCGTTAGCATTCGTGAATAGGTCCTTTTGATAGGGTCTACTAACAGATTCAAATGAGTTTCTGAGTTTTTTGATTT